CCCTCTCTCTCTCTCTTCAACCCCCTCCACAACCCCGACCCCTTTCTGGATCAATTTAATTATTAATAATGCTGACTATTCAATTAAAGTACAAGAAGAAAAGAAGTGACAGATGTCTTACAATGATAAACGTTCAATTATAATTAAGTATTTCAGATAGGCCGACATACACTGCCACATCACAGGGGCAAGGTACAGACCAACCCACCACCCAGCTTGGTACTATTACGGAATTAGATTAGATATCTAAGTCAGTAATACTATATTATCATATAGGGGTCGGGGGTTGGTGTGTGCCTTGCCCCTGTGGCACACACACACACACACACACACACACACACACACACATCTTCGCTAGCCAAGGGTTGATCCGGTACGATCTACCTACTCACCTTCGCTAGCGAAGATGACACCCATATATATATATATATATATATACTTAGAACTCTCGCACTCTTACCCAGCACCATTCATTGTGACGCGATTCAACAATGAAAACAGTAACATTTAACTGGAATAGCCTTATATCTGGAATGGATAAATCATAACATAAAAAGAATTAAAATATAATGGAAGGTTATTTTTTTTCTAAATTTGAACTATGAAATTTACGGGAAAATGAAATTCCCCGGAAAACTCGAATTTCCAGTGGGCTGAAATTCATACGAAAGTCTAGTTAACTTGACAAAATATAGATTAATTCTATTTATAATAACCAACCTATATCTAGCTGCATTGATTTAGTTTTTTGGGACGTGGTGTAAAACAAATGGTTTATAAATAGATTATCTGATGGTCTAGGTTGACAGGGTTATTACATGTTTACAGCCGAGCCACAAAGACGGCCATAATAAAAACTAACAGACGGCGCTCTGTGGTCGAGCGTGAGTCATTGGTTTGTTTATTTTGAGATTGTAAAAATTTAAATATTTGTCTAGTTCATAATATAAACAATATAAATACAGTGTAATTAAAGTACTGTCGATTCCGGCCCTATCTAAGTTATATCTCGGATCATGAACCTGTTTATATTAGTATAAGTTAGCTCCCTTGCCAAACTATTTTTGGATAACATAAAGCATATATTTTAATGTTTTAACAGATCGATAGTCTATATAATTTGGTTTATGTATTTTAAGTACTATATTTATAGGAAAACGACTTTATTATGTCTGATCTTATTGCCATATAAATGAAAAGAAATAAGTATTTACACATGCAAAACCATATAATTTATTAGGGAAAAAAGATATATTAAAAGTTACACGGTCAGGAAATACCAAGTTTCATAAAAATCCAGTTTCTGGGAGATGCAGTGTTCTACGGGACACTGTCTTAACAAAGTCGAAAATATGGTACATGAACCACAGCAGATATCTTCTATAGAATGTGAGGCATCTGATAAGTACTAAACATCGTTGTCACATAGACGTGTCATTTAACTGATGTAGCTATATTATAACCAACTTTTTTTAAACAGTTTTATTCATACCAAACACATTTTATTCAGCAACATTATTGCAAACAAATTCAAAAAATTTCACCTTTCCAGGTTCTGCGGTCTATCTTTTTTCCCGTTTTGTAACTTAAACTTTTAACATGAACTAGTCCGTCTTGTAATTGAAAGACAAATGGCAATTGTGAAACACATTTCTGGCCATATTAGAAATATCAGCAAATGGATACCTTGTACTTTTCTGTCACATAAGTAGGCTTAGTATTATCATTTTTACATTTAGCGCTCTCAATTTATACCATTTTCTCCTTCCAATGGGATCCGGGAAGCGGCTTTTAACGGGTATTTACCTCTCATCTTTGATCGCCGATAGTAAAAAAGGGTCACATTCCGAAATCGGCAGGAGTTTGGTCTTCTATCACAGTTTCAGTGAGGTTTTTGTTCACTTTCAATGCGAGTCATCAATTGCAACTGAGACAAATGAATACCGTCCAGGTCGTCAAAGTCATCGTGTGCCAAACATGGCCTTAAGTTTGAGACCAAGTCCGACATGACCAATTTTTTCTCTTTAAATTGTTATGAGACACTTTATGCGACAAGTCAGTTAGATCATAGTCCTCGCAATATGTCAGTTATCGTACTCGAGGGGCGGAGCTTACAATAAATGACATATGACTCGGTTCCTATGATTCAACAGTACATTGAATTAATGAATGTAAACGTCATTCGGAAATTCAGAGAAAGCACATTTGTAATGTTGTGTTTACGCTCACTTTTGCTCTCTGCACCCCTGGAATGGATGTTCTCAATTCCCCCCACCTTTTAGAGAACAAAGAAAAGTGTTGATATATATATTTAAAAAATACTTATCCCACAGGTAACTTACCTGTGAGAAAGTTACCTGTTGGACTTGTAGCTTTTCTGTGTATGTGAGGTTAGGTAATTTTTGATTTTGGGGGGAAAGAAATTGATATGATAATATCATAAACACTTAATTGTCTGTTTGGAATGTGTCATAGCAAACTTAAAGGCACGAAGATAGCTGTTTGATTGGTTTCTAGTAAAAAAAACCTGACCAATCGCTAGGCTGATACCTGTCTTTTGAAGATTACAAGGAGCGACACCCGACTTCAAAGTTAGTCAACTTTTATTGTTATGTGGACGCGAGATTCTTTTGATGTACACCAAAGGATCGAACAAGTCTTCTCGTCTCATCAACAAGGTGGCGCACACCGAGCCTTCAATTTGCTATGACATATTCCAGGGGTGCAGCGAGCGAAAGTGAGCATTACCCCTTGAGTATTGAGTATATGCTTTTGTCACGTACACACACATAGTAGCATCCCGAAGATCAATCCGGGAAGGCTGTATACACTTTTCAGCAATAGAAGATGTAAAAAAGAAGCGAAAAGATATTTGCAAAATATGATAGAAATATCTAAATAAATAAATAAGTAGTGATAACAATTAAATAAAATCATTATAGAGATAATTCAGCTACAGCAATCAACTGGTTGAAGTATAATGAGGTGTTTGCAACATATTACCACGTGATAGGAATACGTAGTCTTGAGAACATATAGGTGTCTGAAAAGTAACAAGTAACACACTGTTATTACTCTGTGAATCCGGCAACCGGAACTTCCAGTTGTGGTTACGCCCAGTAAAACGCCTGTAGACTTTAGACAGATAATTGATTCGTGGTAGAGGAAAAAACCTCATACTTTGAAGCCCATGTGCGCATGTTTATGTGTAATACTTGGAATATATTGTTTACGTCGCAATGCAATCATAACACAATTTCCGGGTTGTGTGTATTTTCGGGAGAAATTTACATCATTGTGTATACAAACTTTCCACGGCTACTGAGGAGTCCAGCTGTATATCATCCCAGACACACTAAGAGTATAGAGTGTCCGTATTTAAGTAAGTCATTAATTAAAAAACAAGCCAATTGGATAATTGGTATTGAACTATCCTTAAAAAGATTTCGTTTTCGGAGTTTTGACTTTCATCAAAATTGTGTAAATTGTTAATTCTCTTAATGTGATTGATATGTGAAGAATATAAACATACTGTATTATTTACAGGTTTTCTAAGGACGAGATGAAATCGGACATTTTTAGTCCTGGACCACTACCTCAGATTCGCCTACTGGATATGCTTGCTGTCCTGTTTATGGTGAGGTTTTTTTTATTGCTATTACTATATGTCTTCCGACTCATCAGTATCTTTTGAACGAAGTAGTGATGTTTGTTTGTTCGAGTGTTAAAGTCAACACAACAGCCAAGATCACATAAAGACGAGTACCTAGGGAGACACTGTTGACATAAGAGAATAGGGAAGTGAGAGATGAGAAAATACGTAGATCTTAAGTGATGAGTTAGAAGCAGCAGATCAATCTTCTTCAATATCTTCTAAGCAGGAGACAATGAAGAAAACCACGATTCAACAAGGGGGCCCACATTACCCGGCTTTTACGACATACAGTTGAATACTGTAGGTTAGTCTGAATTATTCTGACGTTTTAACGACTTTTTTTCATATCGGTCTGTCGTCGATTAACCGACGACAGACCGATATGAAAAAAGTCGATAAAACGTCAGAATAATTCGGACTAACTGTAGGTCTATTCTCTCGGTACCATTCTCTCACCATACATGCACAGTACAAGAAACAGTGCGTAAATGTATACGCGTACACTATTGATATATATCTATATATGCATATTATTTTTCAAAGTATTAAAAGTAATCCGTTTGTTTAAAGCTAACCCGTTTTTTTTTTTTAGTTATAGTCCGTAAATTCTGAATGCTCTATTTCCTGGAAATAATGTCCATAGCCTTTTAGCCTTTTAGAAATAGATGTCAAGGGTAATTACTGTATTAGCATACTTTTAATTTAACAATAGAGATTTAGACTATCAATAGATATAGATTTAATTAAACTGAATGCTATTTCTATTTGATAAGTCACATGCATATTTTAATATCATTGCTAAATAAAATGAATACGTTTTAGTGAAGGCGTAATTAAACTAACAGTTTCTTAGTTAGATGGATCACGTGATCCTCTAAGGAAGCGTGTTTGTATGTACCTCGGATCAAACCATTCATTAGTGAGTGTTGTACTTTATATAAATAACGATCATTCTTTAATGTGTGCGTTGATATTTGCATTTATGTTTGTATTATGAAATCAGTTGAGACGTAAACAAATGAATAGAGAAATATATAGTATATTATTGGTCATGTCAATTCACAAAAATATAAACTTTTATTCAGTGTACAACAACTATGGAACAAGCTCTACAAAAATAACTTATTCACTATTGTTGGCCCAGATGTTAATGCGCAGAGCGGGTCTTAATGTCAGAGGAAACCAAAGTAGCCGGAGAAACCCACGTGGTCGGGCAGGTGGCCCCCTACCTTTTCACGCCCAATCCGGGAATCGAACCCCGGCCGCCTTGATGAAAGGCAAGTGCGTAATCCACTGTGCCACCCGACCACACTAACAAAACGTTAACAAATTCCCTAAACTTATTAATCAACTAGAACATTAAACTTAAATAAAAATGAATTTAAACATGTAAAAAAACCACCATGTTTAATTAATGTTAAAAAATCACTCACTTAACATTACACAGTGTATAAATGACTCAAGTAGTAAATGGGCTGAAAACAATACAATACAGGACTTATAATTTACAAAGCATGCGACTTGATGGAAATTTTGATTAATTAAAAAATCCCCACAAGTAGAAACCTGGTTAGGATATCCAACCTTTTCTACTTATTTTGATCCGGAAGTTGACAGCTGTTGGTTCTTGATACTGTACAACACGGGTAAATTATGATATACATATATAATGCGCACAACTACCTTGTTAGATTTGCTTTTGGCATGTAAAAGTCACGTGTTCAATATCAAGGTATTGGTCATCCTCGATATTGTGGAGATTACGACCACTTACGTTCTCTGTACCTCATGTAATGGCGATATCGAATGCACGGTGTCAGCTATTTGATCGACTTCAGGAGCGACACCCGACTTCAAAACCAGTCAATTTTACCGTTACGCTACCGCGCAGTTTTTTTTATGTACATTTAAAGTGTCAAATTAGTCTAGCTTGTCTTATCCCCCAGGTGGCGCGTTCCATGCCTTCGATTTTATCATGGTATATCCAGGGTTGAAGATACTGTTATCCCTAGGTTTTCGAGAATGGGTTTTAGCACAATTCAGTTTTATTCTCTTTACAATATATGCAAAGAACAGTGAAGCATACTTACAGCATAATATACAATAAAGTTTTTCATTAGTCATACAATCACAATCTTATCAATATTATTAATGCCATTCATAGGGTACATATTGTTTAATCAAAACATTATAAGAAATGCAGAGATCTTTTCAATGTACGTATTTGGAGTTCATTAGTTCGTTAATCTTAATAATATTAGGTCTTACATGTTAATATTTGTTTAAAATATTCTTTCTGAATTAAATGAATTACTGACATTCAAGTAGGTAATGTCATTTGCTTGGGGTTTCAATGTATGCAAATTCTATTTTTGCGGACGTCGCTTTTTTGTGACATTCAAAGGACATGTATCAGTCTGGCGATCGGTCCGTTTTTTTCTATCGGATACCAATAAAAAAAAACAACAATCTATGTGCCTTCAATGTTGCTTTGACATATCCTAGAGGTTCATCGAGCGTAAGTGAGCGCAACCGCTGGAGTATCGAGGATGCTCTTGAACTTCGAGGATGATACTGCCCTTTACAACGTCGTCTCAAATATTCAATTTGCCGCTAGCTCGCTGTGAGGACGTAGGCGGTGGGCGTTTAATCAGACATTAAACAATAAGATAGCACATACATATACCAAGTAAAGGATATTTCTAACATATATTTTTAGCTACGGTCACTTTCGCTCTCTGCACCCCTGGAATATGTCATACAATGTAACAAATTGAAGGCACGAATATAGCTGTTTGATTGGTCTCGGGTAAAAAAAAATCTTGACCAAGCGCAAGGCTGATATCTTTTGAACATAGCCCGTCAATTGTTACCGTTACGTGACCGTCAGCTTCTTTTGATGTACATCAAAGAGTATTCCTGTCTTATCAACACAGAGGTTCACACCGAGCCTTCAATTTTGCAATGACATATCAAGGGGTGCAGCGAACGGAAGTGAGCGTAACCCCTGGAGTATAGAGGATGTATAAACCAAGATTTCGAACTTTTCGAACTGCAGTCAGTAGTAAGTCAGTAGTTTGTCAGTACTTAGTCAGTAGTTTGTCAGTTGAGGGTTAGAAGTTTGTCAGTAGTTTGTCAGTAGTTTGTCAGTATTTTGTCAGTAGTTTGTCAGTTGTTTGTCCGTACTTAGTCAGTGGTTTGTCAGTAATAAGTCAGTAGTTTGTCAGTATTAAGTCAGTAGTTTGTCAGTAATAAGTCAGTAGTTTGTCAGTAGTTTGTCAGTAGTTTGTCAGTTGTTTGTCAGTAGTTTGTCAGGAATTAGTCAGTATTTAGTCAGTAGTTTGTCAGTAATAAGTCAGTAGTTTGTTAGTTTGTCAGTAGTTTGTCAGGAATTAGTCAGTATTTAGTCAGCAGTTTGTCAGTACTTAGTCAGTAGTTTGTTAGTTGAGGGTTAGAAGTTTGTCAGTAGTTTGTCAGTAGTTTGTCAGTAGTTTGTCCGTACTTAGTCAGTGGTTTGTCAGTAGTAAGTCAGTAGTTTGTCAGTAGTTAGTCAGTAGTTTGTCAGTACTTAGTCAGTAGTTTGTCAGTAATAAGTCAGTAGTTTGTCAGTAAGAAGTCAGTAGTTTGTCAGTAGTTTGTCAGTAGTTTGTCAGTAGTTAGTCAGTAGTTTGTCAGTAGTTTGTTAGTAGTTTGTCAGTAGTTTGTTAGTTGTTTGTCAGTTGTTTGTCAGTAGTTTGTTAGTTTGTCAGTAGTTTGTCAGGAATTAGTCAGTATTTAGTCAGTAGTTTGTCAGTAATAAGTCAGTAGTTTGTCAGTAGTAAGTCAGTAGTTTGTCAGTAGTTTGTCAGTTGTTTGTCAGGAATAAGTCAGTATTTAGTCAGTAGTTTGTTAGTTTGTCAGGAATTAGTCAGTATTTAGTCAGTAGTTTGTCAGTAATAAGTCAGTAGTTTGTCAGTAGTAAGTCAATAGTTTGTCAGTAGTAAGTCAGTAGCTTGTCAGTAGTTTGTTAGTAGTTTGTCAGTAGTTTGTCAGTTGTTTGTCAGTAGTTTGTTAGTTTGTCAGTATTTAGTCAGTAGTTTGTCAGTAATAAGTCAGTAGTTTGTCAGAAGTAAGTCAGTAGTTTGTCAGTAGTAAGTCAGTAGTTTGTCAGTAGTTTGTTAGTAGTTTGTCAGTAGTTTGTCAGTTGTTTGTCAGTACTGAGTCAGTAGTTTGTCAGTAATAAGTCAGTAGTTTGTTAGTTTGTCAGTAGTTTGTCAGTAGTTTGTTAGAAATTAGTCAGTATTTAGTCAGTAGTTTGTCAGTAGTAAGACAGTAGTTTGTCAGTAGTATGTCAATAGTTTGTCAGTAGTATGTCAATAGTTTGTCAGTAGTAAGTCAGTAGTTTGTCAGTAGCCAGTCAGTAGTTTGTCAGTAGTAAGTCAGTAGTTTGTCAGTAGTAAGTCAGTAGTTTGTCAGTAGTTTGTCAGTAGTTAGTCAGTAGTTTGTCAGTAGTTTGGTAGTAGTTTTTCAGTAGTTTGTCAGTACTTAGTCAGTAGTTTGTCAGTACTTACAACGTAGTCAGTAGTTTAAAAAAAATCCTGTACAGGTACCCAATGCGGACTAAGCAATGGTTTAAAGTACTTCACTATATTCAGACTCCGGTGTATCCATTGGTCAATTATTTCTTCAAAAGTTTTAATTTTATCTGCATTTAGATTTTCAAAAAAATCCTTTATTTTTCTTTCACCCCATTGCTTAATTCTTTAGAGTAAGTTACCTGTTTTGGATAAAGTTGCGACAAAATGGTATATTAATAAATACTCAGTTTTTTTCCGACTTCTTTATGAATATCTAGTGCATAATAAATAGACTTGCACAAGTCAGTATGTCCACGGACTAAACTTTGATATCATTCCTTTGCAGTGTATGCCAAACCACACGATACGCCAATTTCCTACTTTAGTTGTAGAAAATTCACAAAATCTCACTAAAAGATGGTTTATTTCTATTGTTAAAATGACATAATATCCTTTCCCTGCTTAATTATATGTTGATACAACAAGTTGTAGGCCTCCTGAGCACGGGTTTTACTGGATCACGACGCAGTATTTTTACATGATTTATTTCTTGCCTTTTTGTATTGATGTCAGTTTATGTGCATACTGATATGACGTTTTGGTGTAATGTGAATTGAAGGTAATGCGAGATAATGTGAGTAATCTGAGGAAATGATTCATTTGGATGTTTCCAAATGCTAAGAATTTCAGAATATTATATGAAAGTTACATCGGATTTTCTGCGTGCAGTGAATGTTTGTTTCTAGTGTTTCCGGAAACGTGTTGACATGAGACAGGAAGGGCATAAGATACGATACATGTATGAGAGATGTGTTTAAAACACACACAACCAACCCTCACCATCACTCACGCACTCACACACCCACACCCACCCCATCCCACCCCATCCCCAACCCAAAATTACATATCGACAGATTCTACCCCACCCCACCACATAGATATAAGTATGGCACTGTTATAGTTACATAACAGAGGCTTTCACGTCACAATTGGTATTGGTCATCTACTACACTGTATACATGTAGGTAGATGACTATCGGAGAGTTTGTATTGCACTGGTAGAAGATGACCATTGGTCAGTTACTTTTTCATTGGTTGATGACCTTCGGTTGGTTTCTCCATGTATACGTAGAAGCATACTGGACATCCTAATTTATTTACAAATAGTAAGTTACTTGATAAATTGTTCACAAACAAATGCTACTTTAAGTATTAGATTAGATTCTATTAGATATTAGCCAGGTGGCATACACGAGTAATTAGCGTCTGATAAGGCAGCTTCAACGAACTCCTTAAAAATTGTTTCGATTAACGTATATGCTAATTGTATTGCTTGTATAAATTGCACATCTAGGTATCGTAAAGCGTTATAAAGTGGCTAATTCTAGCTAGATAGGGCGCCATATCAAATTTTGTGTATCATTAAGAAGATTTTTTTAACTTGTTACAGATCTGTGGTATGGCCACTAGGACTTTAAGTAAAACCTGTCTTCCAGTAAATTGTTCTCCAGGTAAGTACATATATATATAGTTCCTTGTATGTTTTCTTACAATCAAACGTAGCCGAAGGACAAGCGGTCTTTTCAGATGCTATGTGTTAAAAGACCAGGGCCAGTATTCATTAAACCATTATCATGCTCAGACTCAAATTCTGTGCTCAAGCCAAATTTCTTGTTCCGGTGATAAATGAATGAAAATCTATATTTTCTCAATGATTTAGAAGAATTTCAGGGAGAATTAAAGCCGAATACCGTTTTCAATATTTACAATTGACATTTGGCTGTTTCACAAGAATTAAGCGAGTTGCAAGAAAGTTAGTTTGAGCACAGAATTCATGCTTGACCATGAGAATGGTTTCATTAATCCAGTGGATCCAGTTTAAAAACCCTCAGTTAAGTTTTTTTTATGTTTACTGAACCTAAGATAAGACAACGCTTTTAAAAACCTCTCAAAGGGGATCTCTAAATACATATTTGAATGTACGAAGATATTATAAAGGTTGTAACATGTCTATAGTACATGTATTTATTATGGGTGGGATTGGGTTATACTGAAATAGTATATTATATTAATTGTAAGGAGAGCAGAGCAATTCTGCTAAGGGTGTAGAATTACGGTCAGAACGGAGGCTTTGCCGATGTCCTTAGCTGACATTCTACATTCAAGGGTAGCATTTCCCCTACCCCACACAGCTACTGAAAGACTGAGTCCTTTTCTCTAACATTTCATCCGGGAATCAGGTAAAAATCATCAAAAATTGCGAATGCAGAATTTTTTCTTGATACCATAACGTTTATCAAGAACATTGTTTCGCACGTGGTGGCCTCTCGATTTTATCCACGTGCTCGCTATGAGAAAGTTGTTTTCACGACAAACCCTGAAAACAATCTATAATTACAATGTAACAAGACTTTTTTGATCAAATTCTGCATATAATTGGATAATTATTCGGTGATTTTATTTGGAATATTGGTATTGTTAAATATTAAAGTTATTGAGATATTTATTGTTGATATCCGTAAAAATTATTTTTTTTGTGAATCAACTGATTATGGTTAAGTTTAGAAGAAACGAACAATAATAGATCTAACACAAGCCCTGGATAATTTCCCTGTGTGCTTTTTTCGGACGTAAATTCCTCAACAATGCATTTTGAAGTTAACAAAATATATTGTGTTGTTTAATTTTGCTACTGATGGTATACTAAGGAATGTGTAAAAAACTATTTACTGCATGGTAATTTCTATCACATAATTTGCAGACAAAATCATTTTCCAATTTCGCAATATTTGGGGAAATGTTTTAGAAGAATTATTTCCTTAAAATTCAAACATCTCAAAAAATAGCTCGGGAACCCCTTTAAGAAAATGGCGGAACGTGAAAGACTCGTCAGCGTATATGTATGCGTTCAATATGCAGTAGCGTTAACTTAACCGAATTTCACATGTTTCGTCTTTGCACAGGTTTTCAGATTATTTCCTGTGACCTGGATGGAGAGCGTGATAAATGTGAACTCTGTCCACAGAATAAAGTACAGCTTTACAATATATCCTCAAGGGGTGATAAAGTATTTCACAGTTGTTTCAGCGCTTACCCTGACAAATGTAAAAAGAAAGGTGAGTTTTCATCAAAGTTCCTTTTGTCTATTAATTGAATGTCTTTTAAAGTCTAGCCATGTGTCATCTGGGCCCGTATTCAGCAAACCGTCTCATGCTTCAGCACGATTTCACTGTAACGAGCTGCTGTAATTATGTGACACGGTCAAAATATTGAGTGTAAACAATGACAGCGATATTCGGTTTTAAGTGTTTCAAGACTTTATCCAAATTGTTAACAAAATTTGTATTGTCATTAATGTATAACCGGAACCGGAAATTGAGTTCGAACACAGAATACTCTTTCATGAATCGTCAAATATTAAGGCGATAATCTGCTTAAATGTACTTTTCTATCTAAAAGTTAACTTTTTTTATTTCGAGGTTTTTAAAAAAACACAGAGAACCATGAGAAACAGCAGCTATATACAATTAAACTAATACGACAATGATGATAAGTTCTACAGGATCGCTTTGTGGGATCGTACCTATCAACAGGAAGTCCTCTACATATATATCAAAATGCAATCAGACAAATATACATGTACAGTGTTGATATACAACAGAATATAAAATGTGTACAGAAGAATTAAAAAAAAAAAAAGTATTTTTTTATATAAAGGAACTGTTAACAGCAGTAATTACATATACACATGTATATACTTTTTTGGACATTTTAAGTGACTTGGACATTTTTTTTTATATATATTAGGGTAGAGCGTTTTATATAATTGCGCCCGAATAAAAAAAAAAGTTCTATTCAAACAGTTCGGAATAAGGATGACAAATGAGCAAATAATTGGCAGAAGATAATCGAGAATTGTGTTTTTTATTTTACATAATTCGAACTTCCATGTGAGAAAATTCAGAGTGACATGAAAGAGCATTCTGAAGTTGTACTCGAATTGTAATAGGCAAAGCGTTCTTACAACACTTCTTTAGAAGACTTGTTTCGATAATCAAGAATTATTTATTGAATTTTATTCAGACTTTCGTTTTCTGTTTCGAAAGTGATTCACAAGATAAAAATGCTGTGAATTTTGCTTAGTTTAAAAGAAAAAGGCCAGGTATTTCTTTTACTTAAATATTTTAAATCGAAACAAATTAAACTTCCTATTTGCCATTGCTAAATTCAAGGGCTATATAAAAGCAAACTTGAGTCCCGTTGGTTATAGTGATAATGAATGGTTTCCATGACAGGGGTTATCAGCAGCCGTTGGATGTGGGATGTTTTAAACTGCAGCCAACCTTGTGATTGTGACGTTGCCAATTGCTATGCGGGAAAGACTGGTTGTGACTGTCAAAAGTACGACCCTTGCGATGTCAACCAGCAGATGAACGAAAAAACTGGGGGTAAGGCAGCCTCGAAATCAAACGGTAGCCTCTCGATACATATATCCCGTCTGCACAACTGGAATATGTCATAAAAATTCGAAGGTTCACATTGGTTTCAGGTATAAAAATCAGACCAGATCATTTTTGTTAAAAAACCTGAAGATTAAAGACTTCAATACATGTCGATGTAACTGTTACGCTGTCACTCGATCGGTTTCATGAAAGACATCAGACTGGGCTTCTTATATTGCATGCCAGTTTTTCATGACATATTCCAGGGCCGAAGAAGTGAGTATGTGATTAGCACCCTTGTATTTCTAGAATTAAGGTAAAACAACATTATGCCATAATCTCTGTGCAGACAAAGCTCAAATGTAAACATGCAAATGGTCATCAATTTTCTTAAATGTGGTATACTATATATATATATATATATATGAGGGGGGAAAAGAAGGTCAAAGTTCTCACAATCGGCTTATAATTATGTCAAAAGCATAGTCACATAGAAAGACTTAAACCTCCATTAGATATAAATTTCACTCTACAACAATTTTGAAACAAGTTATATATCTTACATATATATCACCCCTGTTGGCCCGGATGTAAGTACGCATAAGTATTAGCTCACACGAGTATATATGTTAAAGTAGGCGTGAGGTTATCATTCAGCTTTCACTGATACACTCGTTTTCTTGCATCCGGTATCATATGTATTGCACGGAAGCAGACACGCCCTCTACAGAGTATCTAGACCAAGGCACAGTAAAAGGTCCTAGTCAATAAGGAAGGATATATCAACTATAGTAACACTGAATACTTCATTCAGAGAATTTACTGATTGAACTCAATATGTCGCTTTTGCATTCCACAGTGAGGTTACTTCAAGTGAGAAAATTCGTCAAAGGTGACAGTGCAAGTTAAAAAGCTTTTAAATAATATAAAAAACCGATATTTTTTCTTATTTTGAGATCTTTCCCATCTCTCCCGACTATCGTTTCTAAAGAAGTGCCGATATTTTAGTTTGCTCTTGCTTAGTAACGAGTATGGGTCTCGCTGGTTAGAAAAAGCACATTACCTATCAAACTGGTTATCATTCTGACCGTCTTGCGATGCAATGCACCGCGCACCCTGATCGGCAACCGATGTCAAAACAATCAAACGCACTCACCTGGAGACATTGAAACACTGCCAAAATGCAAGCTGGTTATTACTTACGGCATTTTCTCGAAATTTTGTATCCAAAATAAAAGTTATGTTACTTATAAATATAAATTCAATATAAAATCGGTCTTTCACGTGCATAGAACTGCACCCACACACGAAAAACACGAAAAACACGTGAAAAATTCCAAAATATGTGAAATTTAAAAATTGAACAGTTCTCATGGAAATAATTGGAATTAGTAGTGTTTTCACACAGGATTTTATTACTAGTTGGCTATCTGAAAGATAGGCATTTGCGTTAGTCGTGTTTTTTTTCTTTCAGTGCTGTGCTTTTATTTAACTGATCTGATAAAAAAATGATGGTTAAAAATCGTAAAAGTCTTCTTTTTATCTAGTCAATAGAAGTGTCACCTTACGCACACGTTGAACAAATGATAACCGGTTTGATGGGTAATGCGCTTTTTATACCAAGCGGGACCAATGCTCATTGCCAAGAAAGTACTAAAATGTCGCCGCTTCCTTAGATACGTCAGCCGGAAGAGATTGTCACTGGGAGATATATCAAAACCAGAAAAGCAATTAAAGTTCTTTTTAATAATCTCAATTGAAAGTTTTTTAACTTGCACTTTTAAATAATATGTTTGCAATGTATATACAGTAAAAGCACGTTATAGTGCCGTCATTTTTCTACAGAAAATTTGTCGTTATAAAAGGGTTATTATCATATATTATAATGAAGATCACTACCACGATCTCAAATTAAATATCTTCAAGCTATGACCTCCCCCCCCCCCCCCCCCCTCCCTCTCACTCTCTCTCTGTCTCTCTCTCTCTGTCAGTAACACTAAACTTAATTGAAAATATTAATTAATTTAAAAATTGCCATCTTGTATATATATATTTCATTATGTTATGCGGAAAGGGCTTTACATAAGTTGGACAACTTGTGCCCAATCCCTTTTGTATATTAGATGCAAATAAAAATATGTTTAAATCAAAAAATATATTATAAAGGAAGTGACCTTGAAATATGTTAATAGTGAGCAAGATAGCAAAGGGAACGAAGGGGCATTATATTGAGGTTTTACTGTACATGTAGACCTGTTTTTCATTTATATTTCATTATCACTACTCAGTTACAGCTGTATGTAAATGTCTGACTTCTGTTTTTGATTTTCAGCGTGCGAACCATGTCCATCGAATAAATACAAAGACGAACGAGGTTGCTATCCATGCCTATATGACTTGTAAGTAATTTTCCTGGGATTGTAATGAGAATGCAAAATAAAGCTAAAAATATATCAAGATTAAATCATGATTTCCTGCGTTTTGCCTTGTTAATGCAGTTAACATTATCTCTTTTTAGGATGTTCATCTACAGTATTAGATTCTTAAAATTTGATTCGATAAATCTAACAAAACAAGCATGACCAGTAGAAAATATTCAAGTTTAGTCAAATTTAGTTAAATTTATTTTCCGATACAGGATCTTTATATACCTCTAAAAACACACACACACACACACGAAACCTATGGCCATCACAAATTTAAGGCTAGAATTTTAACTTTACAATTCTTGATCAATCCAGTGTTTATCTAGTCTGCTTTCAAATGTATTATATATGGAGTTGATATCATTTCCTCTAGAAGACTTATGCTAGTGTTTGAATGTTGCGTAATACATTTCAAGTTTGTTTAAATAGTTCGAATTTATAAGTACTTAAGGGATATGTTGCTGTAAAAGTTAACAAAAAAAAGAAGAAAAAAAAAGAAGTTAACAATTTTGCATTTTGACCCTCAAACATTTCGCGGTGTGAAAATATGCGCTCTTGCAATGCTGTTTAAATGGTAAATATTATACTTTGTGGCACCAACAGGAACGGCACACGTACCCAGCCCGTACAGATTACATCTCCTGTTACAGGTAAGCAGTTTTAGTTAAGAAATAAATGCATATCTTTCAGTAAAATTTGGAAATACACTATTGATTTACTAAATAGATTGCATTTGTTTGATTTTGAATATTGTTAAATTTTGACATCAGATGTTGTATTGTTGCATAAAATTTATGAAAGTATAGTTAAGATACAATTTTTTAAAGTACTTAACACTTTAGTGCCCCACCTATCTCCAGGCCATTGCAGAGAAAAGTTGTCCAAAAGAAATGAAGGAAACTATTTACACTGGAGATGTAAAAACTTAAGTTCCAATGGGGATTTAGCACTGAAAAGGGAGATTGCCCATATTTTTATTTTCGCTGATTTATATTTATATACTGAAAATTAATTATTTTCAACTGAAGTTTTCTATAATTCTAATATTCAAAATAGTGTTTACAGAGTTGTGATAAAAATATTTTTTTCAATGAAAATATACAGATTTAACTCATTCAAAGTGTTGACAGGGACAATGATTTATACGGTTTTAAACTTGTGTTTTTCTTTATATTTTTCCATTGGATCCTATTGCCATTTCAAGAGATACACACAACAAGGTATGTAGCATATTGATCTAACAGTTTGTGAGTTAGGCCAGAGCAGATATTATCTTAGTTGTCACAATCCAATAGCAGGAATGTAAACAATTATTGATCAAAACCTCAATTGAAATGTCAATTTGGCAATCGTTTGCATGTATGCATCGGGTGTTACATTGAGTCGTTAAACCTTGATGAAGTTAACAACATTTAGCTATTGTGTTTAGCGTACTATTTAACAGCAATTAATGCTATTTAAGGACGAGCCGCCATATGTGCCATGTATGCATGCGAATGTGAATGTTCACTTAAACTTAGAGAGCTGCCTCACTGAAATACCAAGCTGAAGGCACCCACCACAGTTTTCCACGAGGTCACAATATAATGCCAACGTGTTAATCAGTTGTGACGACACCAAAAGCTGAATGTTAAGCAGAGACAAACAACTATCATTTTCAAGAACGTTTGTATGTCTCGGACTGGGGATGCCTTCCCTACTTTGGCGAACGTTCAACGAGTGTAGTAGATTCATTTTGGTCGTTTTTTAGTCGTCTCTAAGTAGAGGGCTCAAACGCAAATCCGAAAATATATAGAGTGGTCCCCGCATTAGCAGCTTCTAACGACAGGATCTGCAGGGATGAAAATCGTGAGGAGTGAAGACAAAAATCTCGTGAAAACTGCATTAATCAGAGATAACTGTCATTATTTCTCCAAATGCATCTTTCATAGATACTGTAATTCGTTTGATACATGTAACCAATATATAGTTCACTGTTAATTGTTTTAAAGGGATACTGACAGGAGGAGTATATCTACCCAGGACACACCTTATGTTCCTCCGAAACTGATAAGGTCTCCTATAAACGGTAATGCAGATTTTTTTTATCAAAGACCCCAGACTGCCAAACTGTAACTATACACTGTACATCGCAAACTGTTTACGTTAATCATTTCTAAAACGAATAGACTTTGATTCGAGCCCTGGTCCTCAGATTGTTATAATGTTGGTCTTACCAATTAGGCTACCTGGTTATCAGGTAAATTCTGAACAAAATTAAGGAGAGATTACTGTTTATACAAACACCCCAATGGAATCTTGAATAGTTTGTCCGCAGTGTGACAGCAGATCCTAAGTGAAATTGAAACATATATTCTATTAACCCCATGTTTATAAAATACGTTATATATGGCGTTGTATTACATACTTAAATATTGAATATAATTTCAGATCAATGTTATGATGTTTAATAGTTGGCGGGAACAATAGTTAAGAGAAAATGTTCTGAAGTGATATCACATATCTTTTGATGCCCAATCGCGGGTGTGGACGGAGTTAGTCTACATTTTGTCAGTTACCAAGCTAAATTTTAAAGAAATGAATATATTAAAGGGGGACATACCATGTTTAATAAATATCTTTCTCATTTCTTTATGGATTCGTAAATGTATAGTAATTACAAACCAACATTTTTGTATTTATCAAAACTGTCATTTATTACAGCCACGACAAAAGAGATGCCCAATTCCGGTGATGCTAGTTGTGTCAACATCATGTAGGTATTCATTTGTGGAAAAAGACCCTTATACAGTATACTTATTAAGGTTGTCAATGTGTTTATCAAACACTGACCAGCAACAAGTACATTGTATGTATCACATATTTATTAGCACGATAACGTAATGGACTAACTAGTTCACAGCTTATTGCACCGCTTTTAATATTTCACTGATATATCATTCACTTGTGTAATCTTGATATTATTTTTATGTCTCTCTTTTAAAAGCGAATTCTACCTTCCAAAATTGAAATTTCACAACGTTTCCTTCTTGCCCCCTTTTAAAATCTGTTTTTAAAGCTTTTTATGGGGCTGTCGGCATCGGTTTGTTTGTCAATCTAAACTGTCGAGTATAAAAACAGCACCAACAGGCCAGTCTGTCAACACAATAGAGTAGGTTAGGGTCACAGGACAGTCTGGATGTTGTAGACACGCCCTCCTACTTCCGTGCAGTTCCAGACATCTTGATGCAATACGGCTGGCGACAAATCAAACACATTCGGACCATGGAGTCGTCTTCCATCATTAGAACAGAATACCAACAGCGGTCAGTGAGACGAAACCACAATGGGTGGTGTCATGTAGGCGATGTTACGTCACTTGTTTGTGAGAGTAACGTAATCAATTTTTGAGAAAACGACGTAATTTTCTCACACAAACCAATGACGTAACAATCAATACCTGCTTCCAAGAGAAGATAACTCTGCAATACTCAAAGACGGAACAGGCGATATTATAGCTTACACTCACGTACATATACACACACAATCGTACCCACTTATAGTCATTTAGTTTATAGTACAATGTATTTGAGGTCATGTGATGGGTCATTTCCAGCAGCTTCACTGTTCCTTACATTCAACAGGTTCAGGTTGATATAGCAAGAAGTATTTATTTCAAAATGTAGAGTTATACTTAGCGGCAGCTGATGTTGTTTTTGTTTATGATGCTGAAGGCATGAAAAAGGAATATATTTAAAAGCTATTTGTCCAAAATATACTTGCTTCTCAATCTGTTAGTGTCACCAATTCAATTGCTGCTCGGTTAGCGGATAGCGCTGTCACCTTTGTTTCCGATTGGGCGTGACAAAATATTGGTTTATCTGACCGACAACGTTGGTTTTCACTGGGTACGTCGGTTTACTCCCATAAAAAGACCCCGTGTGAGCTTCCGTTAGGGTCACAAAGACTAGTAGATTTAAGTTGTTTTAAATTCAATATAGTGTTGTTTCTATATAAATTATTAATTGTTTACGTTTTGCGATCTATCCAGGAACATAGTTGCAACTAAATGTTTTACTGCTTATATGAATTAGATAAACAACATTTTTGATTCAAGAGCATAACTGCTTTCAGTTTTGTGATTTCTCTCGGAATATTGTAACTTCTCTGTTGAACTACTATAACAAATGTAAATTAAGTATTTTTCACTACAACTGCTACTATGAAATGATTTTTTTTATATAATTGTAGCAATTTCTGCGAGAGTTTCACAGGTACTAAATCAACTGTTGTAAAAACTTCTTTTGTTCGTTTCAGTGTTGTTATCATCTTGGGCAGCTTGCTATTTCTAACGGTTGCTGCACTCTTCATCATAATGTGTAAACGTCGACGGGACTCCAGAACCTCTCAATTATCCACAGATACCGAGGAGAACAAACCCAGTAAGATCTATTAAATTCTATATACCTTAAACGAAGTATACCCTTGATAATGGAAGGGTGCTCTATTCAATTCGTAGTGAGGGAGGAAACCGGAGTACCCGGAGAAAAACCCTGCGGAATTTTCGCGTTGGTAATGGTTCTCAAATCTATAAGTCTTATAGTCGTGTGGTGGTATTTTCGCGCTAATTTACTCCATGCGGAAAACATGAGCACATTACGAAAATTTCAACTTTTACAGTAATACGTATATGTACACAACATGTACCAGTATAGGCACACGTCTTACAAATAATTGTATCATTTTTGTTTTAGTTTCCATCACATTAATACAGGAAAATTCGCTGCTCTTAAACAATAAGGACAATAATGCCAATATCGCTCGTGAACTCGAGACAGCCTATCAGTGCACAGAGGTCAGTGAACTCGACGCCAAGAGAGTAGCCGCAGAGGCGCCAGGTACGTGTAGGTAGATTGTGATTTTGAGATGTTCCCTGAATTTGCTAGTCTTTGTGTCCGCCTCGAGCTCTACGCCAGTGACAAACTTTCGCTTTAGATGTTCACTTAAATGTAAATTGATCTACGTTTAACAGGTAAAACTGAATTTTAATTAGTCTAAAATATGCCGTACTGCGGCGTCCGTCGTCCGTCGTCCGATTGTCGTCCGTCGTATAATATATCCGAAGAACCATTTTAACTAGAGTCATGATACTTGGGTATGTTATGAAGGCATGCAGTGCAAATATTTTACTCAATTCGGTAATGAGGTCAAAGGTCAACTTTAAGTGCAAATCGGGGTCAAATGTCACCTTTGGTTAAAAGCTTTAACAATCTTCTACTCAAGTTCCATAAGGCCCAGGGTCATGATATTTGGCGAGTAGGTACCTGGTATGGAGTGCTATAAAGTTTCCTCATCGAAATGACATTGACCTACTGTCAAGGTCACAGCGGTCAAATACGTTTACAATTTCAAACAACAATATCCTTAGAACCATTTGAACTAGAGTCCTGATACTTTGGTATGATATGTAGACCAGCAGTGCGAACATATTTTTCAATTACAGTAATGAGGTCAAAGGTCAACTTTTAAATGCTAGTCGGGGGTCAAATGTCAACTTTTGTTAAATGCTTTCACAATTTTCTTCTCAAGTTCCATAAGGCCCAGGGTCATGATATTTGGCCTGTCGGTACCTGGGATGGAGTGCTATAAAATTGTCTCATTAAAATGACCTTGACCTACTTTCAAGGTCATAGCGGTCAACATCTTTAATCTTTAAAAACTTCAAACAGCAATATCCTAAGAACCATTTGGACTAGAGTCATGCTTCTTTGGTATGTTATGTAGACCAGCTGTATGAATTGTTTTCTTAATTACAGTAATGAGGTCAAAGGTCAACTTTAAGTGCAAGTCGGGAGTCAAAGGTCAATATGGGTTTAAAGCTTTAGAATTAAAATTTCAAGTTTCACACAACAATATCTTCAGAACCGCTTAAGAGATGTTAAAATGGCTTGTGTTGTAGTTACCAAATTTGGTCTTAAGTGACCTATATGTCAGGTGCATGTAACAAAAGAAACAGGTGAGCGATACAGGCCCGCTGGGCCTTTTGTCTTTATAATGCGATAATTGCGTTTTATTTTCCCATTAAATTAATTAGATTCAAACATCTGGAAACAAAAACATGTAACGCAACAGATTATATTCAAGTTAGCACCGGAGTTTTCTGCTTAATGGAATGCACTGTCAGTTATCAAAACTCATCCGTAAATCTTGTCATTTACGAAGCGGAACGTGAACCTTTTCAACAGAACTATCCGGGTATACGTTTTCTCAGGGTTATCAGTAGTTTGCATCGATGTTTTCTGTATATTACCGGTAATAATCAACATCAACCAGTATAGTTGTTCCGTAGTCAATTTGGAAACCTTTGGTAAAATAAACACCAAAGAAGAAATGTTTGAGAGGTTTTTATTTTTGTCCTAGTTTTGTTTTTGTTTTTGTTATTATTATTTTTTTTTAATTTTTTTTGGGAGGGGGGTCTCTGTACCACTGACAAAAACTGTTAATAAGTATTTGGGAATGTTTTTTTCTGGCATAACTGTAGCATTCATAATTAATTTTTGGAAATGAAAAACATTTTTACTTTTTACCAAAAAAAAAAAGATTTACAGAAGCATTATAGATATCAGCAACAGTGGTTTTATTGAAATAATTAATTTGGTCAGTCCAGGATGAGACCCATGGGCAATATATAGTCGCTCTAACAAACTGAGTTACGTACAACGACAAAACACTGTCCACTTCGGACTGCAGTTACATCCGAAACAGGGTCAAGGGAAGGTAAACGTATTCACGGAAAACTACGGCGGATTTCTCTAGTGGTTTTACATACAGTGGGACAGGGGTCACTAATCACATGGTCTATCTGATTTTAGGTTAAGCCCTATCTTCCCTTCAATAATCTTAATTTACTGAGTTCTGCCATTGGAATCTTTTGTTTCAGATAGCGGTTTTTGGTCACGGCGTGAATGTTCCACTTCATCATATCCCACTTCACACCCGAAGAACTCCTGCCAATCTCAAAATGGTGGCATTTCCGGTCATTGTGAAAACCTGTCCTATTTACTTACCGAAACACCTTCTCCGACAGAGCATGACGAAGAATCTACTCATGTTAAGACCATTTCGGGAGATGATTGATTTATTTCTACCGGTGTTTTATAGTTTAAGTAGTATAGTTAGTAACGGCACTGCATTGCGGTATGACACTTGGTATAAGTGCTGGTTTACTTAGATGTTTCGATTTTTCTTGGCGGAGTGATTGATATGATATTCTTCGAATCGTGATGGCACGTTTTTATTTTGATTTTAATATTGTAAATTGATGTAGACTGTTCTGAAAGATAACACTATTCTTTATGAACCCCCCCCCCCCCCCCCCAGTGTTTTTTCTGTAATTGTCAGAAGATATAAATTCTGGAAAATGTTAACATAACAATGACGCTTTGTGGCAACACCATTCCAATATTATAACAGACTGTATACATACATGTTAAGGAGTAAATCATGTATACGCTTAGATTTATTCTTGTAGGAAGATTATGTATAATACGGCGTTGAAACGAAAAAGAATAAATGTATATCACAATGTTCGTATAGGGAACGCAATGGAATAGGGACCAGGGGGTACATGGTCATCACCTTTATGTCACATCCAGAGAATACATAGCTACAGACAGTCTATTGTTTCTGGCTTAGCCCTCCATCAGGGATTGAATGGTTCCCATCTTTATGTCACATCCAGATCATAAGTAGCAACAGTTACTCTTGGTCCATGCTTTCGAGCTCAGCCCCTCATCAGGTATTGGATGGTCCAAACCCTTATGTCACATTCAAGGGTTAAAATAGCAACAGTCACTCTTGGTCCATGCTTTCGGGCTTAGCCCCTCATCAGGGATTGAATGGTCCAGAACCTTATGTTACATCCAGAGAATAAATATCAACAATCACTCTTGGTTCATGCTTTCGGGCTCAACCCTTTATCAGGGATTGAATATTGTTTATATTATATATATGTTTATATATTAACCGATACAATTCGTTTTTAAATGGCAATTCTAAAACGTCTCAAGTATCGAGTAAGAAAGTCAGAAATATAAGTGTAACAGTAAACGGTTTAAATAAGTTTTTGACACGTTAAGCGTTGTCCTATACAGTCATTGTGATACCGGAATGGGAAGTATTTTGACATTGCATGACAACTGTATTTTATAGAGATTCCATACATTTTTATTGCAACCGATAGAATTTTGTTGTTATTTATACCTTAACACATACATATGTATATGTATTTTGTCTGTTTGGGTAGGGGGGAGTGTTTATAATAAGATAGAATCACGCGTCCTTACTAACGAAAGCGGATATTCTTTTCATCTGTTCATTGCATCGCTTATTGCCAAACGGCAATACAATTAATTCAACACAATCTTAAGATTGTCACGTATCAGGTAAACTTTTGAGGATGAAAGTCAAAGTTGATGATAAAACCTTTTTGAAACATGAATTGTTTTTTCAATAAGCCTCGGGGAATAATCGGGTAAATTTTGTCGGCGTATACAGTAAGGCGACAGACAGAATCAGTTAAACTTTGTAAAAGTTTTCAATAAGCCTCGAAGTAAAATCGGGTAAATTATGTAGGGATAAACTTTGTAGACTTATTCAATAAGCCGACAGACAGAATTGGGAATTTATTTTCGAACTTTCAATTAGCAGAATCGTGTAAATAATGTAGACTTATTCCGTTAGCAGACAGACAGAAACTGATATTCTGTATATGCGTAATCAATCAGCCTCCATGCAGAATCGGGTAAATTATGTAGGTTTATTAATTAAACACAGACTAGAGTCAGGTAAAAAAATGGGCTTATTTAATCCACTCACAGACAGATATATGTTATGTTTCATAAATACACAAAGGAGTAGAAGTGAACTGTGTTGTTTTCGAATGTCAAAGTGCAAGGTGTCATGTGCATAAGATTACTGGTTGAGTGTTTGCATCATGAACACAATTTGTTAAAGTTTTGACTAGATATAAAGAGTTTTACTGAATCTATGCATATATAACATATATACGTACGTTATAGGGCTTACGTTTTTTTTTTTTAATTTTATGATTTGTATAAATTTTGTCGGATTATTAAATCTGTTGGATAACTTTCATTTAATTTTCTGACATGTATCAGTATCCATGAAATGGAGACAGTGTATATAGCTTAATGGAAGATTGTATCAGTTCGTGTTCATGTTACATTGATCATGAATGTAAATTACACTGCATGTTATTATTTGGTGTGTTAAGTCTATACGACCGCTATAGAGTACGGGTAACAGTATAGGGCGTAAAATGTATAGGGCATAAACTATTTAGGACTTAAATGTATAGGGCTTAAATTAGGCTTATGTTCATTTATACTCGTATATTTTATACTTTACAAGATATGCTGTAAATTATCAATTATGGACTTCTGTTGAGGTGAATATAAAGTCTCGGTCAATATCGCTTTCTCAGGTCCATGTAACCATATATTCACCAACATCAAAAGTCCTAAATTATTAAATTAGATGCTAAATAAAATATTAATCATTTAACAAGATGGAATGTATGAAACTTTTAAGGAGGAATTATTATACTGCATTTGGCACAGAGCATTGTGACGTTACAATTGAAATGACGTCATAATTTAAAAATTTACCTACTTTTTCTAAAACTAGTAACACCGAGTCAATCTCGCGAATCCCCGACCTCCACTTGATTATGATCCAATCAATAAAGCTTAAGGAAAATGCGTGTCATGTAATATTTCATGTTATAGACATTAGCAGTGATGTGCAAACAGTGTGTACATGACAGGTTCATTGTGTGTTACATGTATGACCACTTTGGATTTACAAAATTTTGGGCCTGTCACCACCGATGAGTCCTAGAAGGACGAAACAGCCGTATATCGCATGATGCATGTTTATTATAAAATTTGAAAGTTGCATTCACCTTTGTGTGTCAGTGGTGTATGTGTGTGTGTTACGTCCATCTTAATGTACATTGTACCATAATAAACATTTCTCCCACAACTATTGTAGATTTTCTCATTCGTGACTCATTGAATAAACCTGCTAGGAGTTGGTAAACATGTGTGGTTACCCATGGACGTGGTTTCATTGGTCAATCTTTGATTTATGACGTCACGTAACAATGCTTTTCGACGCCATTTTCCATTGTGACGTCATGCTCCATGGCAATTGTTTCCCCAATCGGAAACACACATGATGTATTTTCCAGGAAAATGTGGGTTTTCAGATAAAATACGAACGTTATGGGAGAAGCAGGTCCCCCAAACTCGTGATGATTAGGTATCACGTTTATCTAAGTCTCATTAGTTAATTTTCAAATTGTTAAAGACACCTTGTGTCTTTATACAATTTGAAGATTAACTTACTCGAGTTAGATAAACATGACAACCAACCAACACCTGGTGGGGAACCTCTATTATACCTTATACTGAATATTACTATTGTATGGTGTACACTGTGTATATTTGAATTAGAGAATATATGTCTCTGTACATGTACCACTGTATGCCTTATACTGTATGGTATTATTGTATTATTAATTGACGTTTGGTGGTTATGTGAAAACATTAGGTACATGTACATTGTAAGTGTGTAAATAAGACTAGTGTATAAAGAGTATATTAGGCCTCCCATTGGATACCAAGTATTTCACGATTATGGTAGAATGCCGAAATGTTTCACGAGTGATATCTGCCGGACATATTGTTTTTAATGTTTTTCCCTTTTGTAAGATCTCATCATCTTTATATATCCTTTTGTTAATCTTATGTTACTTAACTTTTGTCGATCTCTAAATTTCCAGAAGATAAAAATAAAATGGAATATGTCATGACAAATTCGAAGGTTCAGTGTGCACCACTTTGTGGATAAGACAAGAAGACTAGTTTGATCCCTTGATGTACATCAAAAGATTGACTGACGTTGAAGTCGGGTGTTGCTCCTCTGTAATCTTAAAAAGGAAAGGTATCAGTCTAGCGATTTGACAGATGTTTTTACCTGAGACCAATCAAAAAGCTCGACGTGTGTCTTCAATGTTGCTATGAGATATTCAAGGGGTGCATAGAGCTGAAGTTCTAGTTCTAGATTTTTATTGGCCAAAAGTCCTAAGCCTTATAGGTACAAACATATATACATATAACATTCTCTAAACATAATTAGAATACATAAAACATCGTTTAATAATGTGCATATAACAATACTTAATTAACACATTACAGTTACACCACAATACATAAACCTTAAATTAACGCCTCTTAAAAGCTAAATATGAATATTTTCCTAAATTGGATAGCTCTCTAACATTATTCATACTAAGTAGTTGTATTAATTTAAAAATCGAGGGTTTTCTGTAATAATATTGTTGGATTCATCTGTGCCTGAGATCGCTATAAAATGGACAAATCAAAATAAAATGAAACTCGTCTTCTATATCTCACAAATTACATTTGTTACAAATCCTGTCTCTGCGTGTTACGTTATGATGTCTTCCAATTGAGTGTAACCCTGGGAGTAAAGAGGATGTTTTAATCCAAACGAATAGTGGCTTATACATATTTAGTAGCGATGTGTCAAATTTATCGTTGTCTACTTTGACTCGCTTAAACAGTTCTTGATGTATTTCCTATCATTCTTTCTGCTGAGCATTCTCAAAATTCCACATATTACGCTCACTTACGTCATATGCACCCCTGTTATTACTCATCGGACATAAGAGCCGGTTGATGGACTATTTGTATCGGGTATGATTGTGCCGACTTATACGGCATGTCAAACGTATCTCACCGTGTTAACCTCTAGCATTGTTTGAGTACCATAGAATACGGTCGTGGCGAAGTTGAAGGCTCTCGACGCGACACAGTAGAGATGATAATTAGGTAGACTAGTTTGGTCCGTTGACGTACATCAAAAGGATCGCATGGCAGCAAAACGTTAAAACTGAACGGCTTTGAAGTCTGTCGTCATTCCTCTTTTCACTTCAAAGGACGGGTATCAGAGAAGCAATTGGACCTATGGTCTTTTTATACCTGAAACTAATTAAATAACTTACTTGTACCTTCGATTTTGTCATGACATATTCCAGGGGTGCGGAGAACGTAAGAGGGCGTTGCCCCTGGAGTATCGATGATGTCTCAGTTCAAAGGCAACTATGTATATGTTAACATAAAATTAATGTATTGAACAAATATGCATTTCTTTTGTGATAGCTTGTTGCTGTCAAAATGTTTCAATGTTTTTTTTAACTTTTCTAATTCATATGCAACATAAATAAAAGGTTAACGATGTATGCTCTTTGTCGGGCCACTTGTTCGATTTCATGTTCTTAATTATCCAACACATTCGCTCCGCTGTGTCTTACAATATAACTAGACTACATTGTGTTTCCCTTGATATGTATTTAATGTAAATCTTTAGATGTGCAGGAAATAAACATAAAAATGAAAACAAAGGATGTATTGCATTTTGTATTTTTCAAACAAGAATCACTTTGTAAACGACGGACGGGCGGAGAGAGACCATGCCATTATATGACCCGTTAAAGCCAGGCTTATTAAAGTACACCCGTTTTTGTATGGCAAATTACATTTCTTTATTAAAGTAATAGAATTAAAACACAGAGTCACTGAATGTTTGGTTTTAAACTTGGAGGGTGATACTTTAAGAAGAAAAATACCGATTAAATATCTTTTTTAAAACTTCAATTGTCACCGAGGAAGATTTTGTTGTTCTATTTAAAGTTTGATATCAAACCACGACTGATTCAACATAACTCATATATCAGTCTCATCGGCCATAAGCACATACTTTATGTACAGGAACTCGCCGTTGTCGACGTCATACCATTAGTTTACGACTACTATTGAGTAAAAGATCACTTCCCATAATAATGAACAAATAAAATAACAATTTGTCTGTTTATTGAAATCACCGAACAACGTCATCTAAGTCCGTGTTTAGATAAATTTTGAGCAACTCGCTATATGAGTACATACATGTATATCTCGTTTACACTAAATTTCCTTCAAAAACGAACGAAGTGTGTGGTATAGGGGAGACCACTCTTTTGTTTGTTTGTAATTTTTGTTAATATATCATGCATAAACATTTTTACTCTCACACATTTATGACTACCATCCATTAACTAAACATTCAATAATAATAAACTGTAGATATGGCCATGGTACCTCTTTATTATTTCCAGGTATCATTTCTAAGTAATTATGTTTATGAGTCAAACTAAACTACAGCTAAATGTCCGTTATATAAAAGCATTGTTTAGAAGTGACAGAAAATAGGTTAGAGTAGGTCCTAGAGGTATAGAAGGGAAAGTAAGAAGAGAGAGAAACAAATTGAGGGGTGGGAGAGGGGTGGGATTGAGAAACAAAGACGCTATATACATGTGGATGTGTCGGAAAGTTCAAGGAGTTTTACATATGTATTTAGAAGTACACGTTTATGTAAGTTAATTCTAGATATATAGATATGTGTTCATATTTTGGCAAAGACAGGGTTTAAGCAATATCAAGTAGTCTTTCCCATTTTTTCCATTCAGAATGGGGAGACAACTCTTACTGCAAATGTCTTGTCATTGGTTCAGTATGGCAGTATTAATCCTTATCATTAAGAAAAAATTACAAATTTAGCAACATTTCTACAAACATTGTCATTTTCATTACTAATGAGCGATATGAAGTTATTCTGGCTTGAAAGAGACTTTATATTTTCACTGAAAATACTAATAAATACTAATATAAATATAATCCCACTGATAACGGCCGCGTGCTACCACAAATATACACACAGTCGATCGCGAGTAGCCTCCCCTAGCTCCTGGAGTGTTTCCCTTGACAACAACCATACAAGGCAGCCATAGTAGCAGGTTCCCGTGGGTTATCAGCGTAAATAAGGTCTCGGACTGTCCTTTATCAATCAGACAGGTAATTGTTTTGTTTCTTTATCGATATATTTGATGACAATTTCTTGTAGAGAAAGTATTGATATGCATTCTACATATATAAATTCATTTAAGTCAATCTGAACAGATAAACAACAACAATATTGTGTCCACAGGTCTCTGATCCGACCTAACTCAAGTTTACTGTAATATTGTATATAACTACAAGCTTACAATATGTGACAATGCTTTTTAATTGCCAATTATGCAATGATGAAGGGTACACAGGTGTCATAATCCGGTTCCGTCCTGACTCGGTGACTGTCCGATCTGGCCTACAGGTCCGTTCACTTTAAATTTGCCATCGTGTTTATTCGTCCTGTCTCTCGGTTCCTCCTGCCTGGCATAGGCTTATTTATTACAATTTCTACTTCTTTAGAACGTTTGATAAAAGTTTCAGTGCACAAATTAATTAAGATACAAAAAATGTATTTTAACAACGCCCTTGACCCCGTTCCCCTCAACCCAATCCCGTCCAAGACTCCTCTCTCATGACTCCAATTATCTTGCTCATCTGATTCCTGTCTCCTGCAGATGTCCTTATGCGAGCTTGCTTCATGAAAACAAATTTGCTTTTTATTAGGCCTAATCTGAATGATTTTATTTAGAATTTGTTTTTGATTTATTATTAGAATATGCATGGTGTATTATTAATTACAGTAAAACACCTTTTACACCAAAACACATGCTTTCACACAGGTGGATGCTCATGGTCAGGGTATTTTTTTCTGCAGATTATATGGTGACAGTCATCTGCATTTTTTTTTATATCCAGATAGAGAGCCCAACCCAACGTAAAGATGCCGCGTCCACGATCGGCCCGATCAGATGGCAGTGATGGAGATTTGGAGGTCTTGGCGGAACAAGAACTGCAGAAACTGCAGAGACAGTTTCGCATCATGGAGGGCGACAGAGCAGCTTATACAGAGGAGTCGCAGAACCTTATCCGTAAACAGAAGTATGTACAGGGGTTTTTAAAGCTTCTTACATGTATTTCTCTCATTTCCTTGCGTTATACGACAGAACAGCCCCGGGTTAGAAAGGGCTGTATTAAGCAGTTCTATTTTACACCCCATTTCCTGTTGTGGTATCACAATAGGACAACAATGATGTGATTTCACGAAATTGTATCATTTCTATTTTCTGATTCAATATATGCTGCAATTTGGAAATTGTGGTGCCTTTTGAGGGTGTTTTAGCTAATAATGTACTACTGATTGGAATGAGAGAAAAATGCTCATTGATATCGATGGGTGTAGGTTAGGGAAATATTCCACTCTCAGTAGAGCCTCAGGTTTAAGCCAATTTAAAAAAAATACTTGGCTGGAATTTCCATCAGTTGCCATAACAAAGTTTTCCCAAAAAAAAGAAAGCCATGTAAGATATTTAAATCTATCCTATCTCATTTTTTTTAAAATTTGAAGTTTATGACTATCTTCATAAATTAAACTGTGTTGCATACTCTTTCCTGTGATGTATACATCAGTGATTAATCTACAATTTATTTTTTCACTTTTCAACTGTATTGCTAAAACACAATGAGTTCCACAATGTTAAATTTAAGTTTTTCCAGAAATTCTGTGAGCTGGATAAAAATTCTATGAGTATAGGACTCCAGACTCGCATGTAGATTAATCTCTTTATCACATTAACAATTGCATAATATTTGAATTCTCAAAAATGATAAAATTATTAAAGAAATCAATGTTTTGCCACAAAATGATAGCAACTCATCTCAATCAAATAAATTGGTAAGTAATGTAAAAAACAAGTCTGTTAAATATGTAAATTTAACTCTATCATATGTATATTATCAATGATTGATGTAGGATAGAATTATCCCATGAACATTAACTACATAATTTTGTTTCAAAAGCCTTGGTTTTCACCCCAAATTAATTAGGAAGTGGTAAACTAGTATTGTCTACTGCTTTTTGATGACCTGCACTATAAGCCAATGCAACTATGATATTTCCCAATTGACAACGGACACATCAACCCATTTTCCCAATTAACAGCAGGAGCCTTTCCCAATTCATCATGAAATAACCCTGATTGTGGTTTTTTAAAGCTTGAAAATTTCTTCATTTAAAAAAATAAAAATCTTTTCCTTTATTGCGTTTTTTTTTATTTTGACATTTTGTATCAAATGATTCTTTATCCTATATATATAAAAAAATAAATAAGAAAGATCCATTAATACACATGTACATAGTCAGACCTAAATGTAGGCAATACTATACAACTACAGTGTACATGATATTTAGTGTGGTCATATATCAAAACAGTGGTATATATCCAAGATGGCGGACATTTGTGAACAGTGGGATTGCTCGCAATTAAGCCCCCTCCCTACTTTTGGTCTATTTTTTTCATTAGGGGTGGGGGCTTATTTGCGGTCAAATACGGTAAGTTTCATCATCAAATGAAACAATAACCAAAAACTTTTTTTTTTGCAGAAATGAGATTTCACATTTGGAATCTGAGAAGCAGGAACTCCTTAAAGAACTTCGTCTGGCAGAGAGTCGCAGCAATCAAATGAAGGATGAGGACCACACAGATACTCTTGTCACTCTGGCCATGGCCAAAGGTAGATACTGTAATGTCGGAAATATCAAATACGTATACTTTCATCACGCTGGCCATGGCCAAAGGTAGATACTGTAATGTCGGAAATATCAAATCGTTTCATCACGCTGGCCATGGCCAAAGGTAGATACTGTAATGTCGAAATATCAAATACTTTCATCACCCTGGCCATGGCCAAAGGCAGATACTGTAATGTCGGAAATATCAAATACTTTCCTCACCCTGGCCATGGCCAAAGGTAGATACTGTAATGTCGGAAATATCAAATACTTTCAACACTCTGGCCATGGCCAAAGGTAGATACTGTAATGTCGGAAAATATCAAATACTTTCATCACTCTGGCCATGGCCAAAGGTAGATACTGAAATGTCGGAAAATATTAAATACTTTCATCACTCTGGCCATGGCCAAAGATAGATACTGTAATGTCGGAAAATATCAAATACTTTCATCACTCTGGCCATAGCCAAAGGTAGATACTGTAATGTTGGAAACTATCAAATACTTTCATCACGCTGGCCATGGCCAAAGGTAGATACTGTAATGTCGGAAAATATCAAATACGTATACTTTCATCACTCTGGCCATGGCCAAAGGTAGATACTGAAATGTTGGAAAATATCAAATACTTTCATCACTCTGGCCATGGCCAAAGGTAGATACTGTAATGTCGGAAAATATCAAATACTTTCATCACTCTGGCCATAGCCAAAGGTATTCATTTACCTATGTTGGGAAACTCAGTTCTGTTACTCTAGCAGAGACCAAAAGTAATATTCACTGTAATGGTTGAGAGAACCTGATGTAAATTCTCGTCACAAGATCAGGCAGAAGCCAATCAATAACAGTTAGGTCAGAGAGTACCCTATATTTATTTAATATTCTTTCTAAAGTATACATTTCATTCCTTTAGTTTACTGACCGGGGTACTGGAGGATAATGCTATTGTAATGAGTTTGAAAATCCACCCCCCCCTCCCCATAGTAGATATATAATACAGAAAAGTAATAATTATCATTTTTTTCCCCGAAGGACTTCATGTCTATCAACCTTTTTTGTATGTGATTTTTAAAAATAAAAAGGTCATTATATATTATCTAATGAGTGTACTGTTATACTACTGAAATGAATAACTTTTTAAAATACAAAATGCTGCTTTGAGCTATCAGTGAAAAATACTTTGTTTTTTCATTACTAAACACCTATGGATGTTTTTTTCTTTGAATCAATAGCTCTAAATGACTTAGGGTGGTACAGTGAATAACACACTCGCCTTCACCAAGGCTGTCACCTGCCCGACCACGTGGGTTTTCTCCGGGTACTCCGGTTTCCTCCCACAGAAAGACAGCTCCCCCCCTCGTGGGCCAATAAGAGTGATTACAGTAGTATAAGTTGTAAAAGCTTGTTTAATATACAATTATGGACTTTTGTGCTGGTGAATATGATGTGATATGAACCTTAAAGTGTGATATTGACTGAGGCGAAGCCGAGGTCAGTATCACTCTTTCAGGTTCATATCACATCATATTTACCAGCACAAAAGCCCATAACTGTTTTATTATATGCTTCAACAATAAAATAAACAAAACAAAACCAAAGGTTTTGATTTTTGTACGCGAGTCTCCGTGTAAAATTTAGCCAGGTTTGAATACAAAAGTTCAGCATTGTAGCTTTCAAAGGCATCGTCTAGATTCTTTTTCTTAAGGTAAGCATTCAGAAAATGCACTGCGTGTTCAATAGCCTTTTTTTTTACGTTAACAGCATCTTTATCCTCGACCAGTTTTGTTAATTTTCCTAATGGAGGAGAAACGTTCGCCAGCAGCCATCTTCTAATGTCGTCTGACAGATCGCGTTCCAGTCTAACTGCGCATGCGCTACGACAGGTTCCGGGGAATTTCCATACAGTCTATATTTAGAAATCGATATTCACCCGATAACCAGTCTACATGAGTTTTTGAGGACTGGTCACGTGTATAGGATCCGACCAATGTGATTGCCAGAAATGTTCATGCATATAATAATAGTTGTTGTAAAATAAATAATGTTTATATTAAATGATGTAGGTTACTTGCATTTCAAGTCTCCATATATTTTATGTAGAAAGTGGTTTCTCCATTTTATACAGAGAATCTGGGAAAAATACAGAGAAATATGAAGAATATTTGATGCAGAGAAATTGGACAGCTATATTTACAGATTTTGGACCAAGAATTTTATTTGATCCAAAAAAATACTCGCATTCATTTCTTTTTCATAATTTTTCAAGGAGTAAGTATGCAGATCTCTGGTATTGTATGTGTAGTGTTTTTTTTTTCTTTTTTTTTCTTTTTTTTTTTTTTAAATAATTGCAATTATTTGATTTGTAATTTCAGAGGATTACGATTCAGAACAAGCTGAAGAAAAGAGAAAAAGTGTGGAGCTTGATGCCAAAATAAGAGAATGGGAGAAGAAAATACATAACCAGCACAAGAACATGGGAGGAATACACATGAGCTCCCAACACACAGTTCAAACGCAGAAGACCATTCGTACATTGGAAAACAGACTTGACTCGGTAATGGATTAAGATCAGGCCATAACAAAATGTCATTTGTTTCCTTTTACCATACCTTCCCTAATTTTTTGTGCACCTCCTAAATATTTTTGTCAATTTTCAAGGCAGCTGCGTTAAAGTCAAGATCACTCTTCTATATAATTACCTTCGGTTCTGCTAACTTTTTCAGATTTATAACAGGAAACAAAAAGTTTTTTTTTTATTGGCCTCAGTGATGGTGTTAGCCTTTTCCAAAACAGGGTCACAAACAAGTGAAAAATTTGAATACTTAAAGGAACCTGGAGTACCTTGTAATTTTTTTGCTTGTTTTATTATAAAAATGTATATAGTTAACACAACCACTGATGATTGAAAGAAAAACTAGATGAGAAATATTGAAACTTCAACAAATTCCAGTAAACAATTATTATGTCTTAAACATGCATGTCATCATCCTCTTTTAACTCATTCGCCCCTGAAGACACATTTGGACTCTTCCAATCTTCAAAGGTTGGAATAGTTCATTATGGAGTTTCAGGGTTGAAGATGAGAAAAGATAACCTGATAAAAATGTTTCGCCCAGAACTCTTCAAAACTATTATTATTTTTCTCTTGCTATACAATGTACTTTTGTCAGAAATTAAAATTTCAGCTATTAATAAAATTGGCTAAGTAGAGTATGCTTTGTAATTTTTAATGATTATTTTTCAGGCCAAGAAACTATTTAACACTTATCTGACAGAAAATTCAAAATACCGAGATGAAATTGAAAGCTTGCGTGTTGAAAGGACAAGATTTGATGGTCTCTACAAAAAGCTTGACAAGGAGCTCGTAATGGCCAGACGAGAGAAGGGAGAGCTTATTGAAAACTCAACACAGGCCTATGATTCTAGGTAGGCTGCTTTGAAAATGTTATTGATATTTTTGATTTAGTTAAGGATCCCCGTACCACTGCTGAAAAATGTTAACTTCACATTGATAACTATTTTTCTGTTATGAATAAATCTTCGATAAATCGTTGCTGGAAAGAAGACCATATATTTCGGAACCTTCATGAGAAAATAATAAAAACAAATTAAATTAAATGCAATCAACAACAGTTTTCTGAGTGTAAAAAATCAGCGGGGCTAGACCTGGATTCGAACCTTCGACCACTGATTTATTATATTGTTGCTCTAGTCAACTATAATACCTGGTAAAGGAAAGTGCATTGGCTCAAATGCACTACAATTCTATTCAAAACAAAATCAAGAGGAGTTTTCTGTATATGTGAAAAAACACAATGACATTCTCTAGTATTTTGTCTGCAGTGGAATAGGGATTCTTAAGTTAGTTTTACAAGACATTTAACTTGATTTGCATCTGAACTGGATTTGAGAAGTCCTGTTATGGATTAAATTCTTAGATAGGGGGAATTGGGTGTTTAAGGCTTAATATAATTACTTCTAATTTTGACACGATATAAATATTGATTGAAAAGAATTTGTCTTCAAGAAGGACTCTCATTTTTCAAATGAATATTGCATATATGCTTTTATAGACATATATAGGCTCACCTTTGGTAACACATGGTAACACTGTACTTTATAGGGACGAAGCTCAGGCAAAGATGATACTGCTTAAGGAGAAGGCTGACAAGGACATGCAGCAACACAATGCGGAGATGAAGGAACTGCTTCGCATCATCGACCACGACCGTTCCCTCCGCGAGTTCATGGGGATCAAGGGCCAGGAGAGACAGGAGGACCCACAGCTGGTGGCATGGCGCCAACGCAAGGGTAGGTCATTTATAGGTTTTGCCCGAAACAATTTATTGACATTAAATATATTATCATATTCGCCATGATTGATTTGGAACAAACAATTATATATCAATAAAACTACCATCTGATTTTCAGTACATCATCCTTCAGGTTAGTTGGTGTTTCAAGGTGTTGGGTGGGAGTGTAAGGGAAACTTTTGTCTGAGATCCCCAATCATTTACAATTGATCTCTATACATTGCCTCTCAGTACCAATTAGAATCTATACCCCTGGGGTGATGTACAGAGAAGTTGGTTCAAACCCAAAGGGATGAAATAATGAAGAAACACCCAAGGATTTCCAACATTTTTAAAGCTATATATACACGTATCTTTATGCTGGAAAATACATTTTCACAGCATTAATTTATCCTAGACTGGCTACCAGCCCCTATGCTTTTATGAAGAATTTCTCAGCTGCAATTTACGACTAGCTTATCTCTCCCTAGTTTAGAACTTAGGAATTCGACATCCAAGTGATACAATTTTTTGATTTTTTTTCTTTCTTAATAATTCAATATTCTAGAGACGAAGGCCAGCCCTCTCATTACGGAGGGGGAATTAAGCCGAATGTTGAACTACAGGTAAAAATTACCATGCATAGCACAGTACTAGTCTAAAACTCTAATGGTACATCCCGATAAAGCTGTCATGCCTGTGTTCTGTTATCAGAGGCCATAGAAGCTGACCGTAAGAAGGAGAGTCAAGAAGATTCTGTGGAAACTTATGAGGCAGCATTTGAGAGAATTAAGGAAATGACCGATGAAGCGGACCTGGATCTTTTGGTGCAAAAATTCATTGAGGTGGAGGATAGAAACTTTGCCCTCTTCAATTTCGTCAATGAGCAAAACAATGAAACAGAAACTCTACAAGAACAGATTGAGGAGGTAAGCTATGCATAAGAAACAAACCTTGTACAATTACAACAAATAGATCAAATTTCAGGCTTAAATTAAATGTTAACCTACCGAAAGAATAGAATAGTGAAATTATTGTATATAAATACTATTTTTAAGGAACTTTTTAAATTTTCTGTTTGAAAATAAAAAACATAATAGTTTCAATATTTTGCAGATATTCAGTGTATTACTTGTGTTATGATACAGAATCAGGAAAAAAAAATCAAAGCTTTAAATGAATATCCGCAGTAGATGTTGTTTAAACATTAACACATTATTGTTTACATTCTGTTTTAGATAAATAATGAAATAGAAAAGTTCAAACTGCAAGGCATCGAGCTAGAGGACCAGAGGAAGAAAATATTGAAGGAGTTGGAAGAGCAGAGTAATGAAGCTGCGGAGACTGGAGACACAGCTGACGGAAAGAATAAAGGAATCACAAAGATCCTGGATCAGCTCAGAGCTGGTAAAGCATTAGTCACATTTTGATTCAGAATTTCGTGTTGATAAATTATATCCTGCAAATAAAATGTTTGAAAATCCAAAAAAATTGTCAAATACACTATAAATTTCACTTTTAATTAAGTGAGTTCTAAATTTCAAATTCCGCCTATAAACAAAACAGATATTGAAACATTATAGATAATTTGAAAAGTGATTTAATATTGAAAGATAGTGTAATATTACTTTAAACATAAATTCCCCATTATATTGTTCTTGAACTAATGTGATCAATTTTAATACTTGCATATTTTATCCACAGGCATATCATCCTTATTTAGCAAGATAAACTGTGACAAATCCTCGATTGATGACATGTTGGGAGCGGCGACAGGGGTGACAGACTCCAACATGATTCAGTATCTGGGGATTATAGAACAGCGAACCAATGAGCTGTTGGCTGTGCAGGGATACATCAACTCTAAGGTAAGAAAATGCTGCTGGTTTGTTGCGCTTGTGAATTACTATTTAATTTTGATGATTTGTTTACGAGTTATGTCCCTTTTCTGATTTCCTTAAGTGAATTTTGTCCGAAGAACTCCTACTTACGTTCTTGACCTATAATTATGAAACTTTGTACACACCATCAGTACTCTACATAGTGGTGCACTTTGCCAATTATTTCTTATTTCAGCTATTTTAGTAAGAGTTATGTCCCTTCTCAGAGTTATTACAAAAATTTAACTATGTACCTTCTTAACTGATATTGATGAAACTTGTACACATCATAATTATCCTCTATAGTTGCTTTTGCAATTTATTTTATGTTTCTACAATTCGGTAGAGGTCATGCCCTTTTTAAATTTTTGTTTATAAAAGTTTATCCGAAGTGCTGCTTTTTCCCTTCTGAAACTTTGTATACAAATTATCATTACCCTAAGTAGTTGTGTGCTTGGGATTTATTTTAAATTTTCCTTATTTTTAAAGCAGTTAGAAGCCCCAATCTCATTCACGTTATCAGATTTTGTCCAAACTGAATTGTTATCTATCCTTAAATGAAAATTGATTGAACAGTTGTCCTCCAAGGGTATGTACATGTATAGTTATCATGGGACTTACAGTTGTAGGTTTATTTATAGTGTTAGCAATAGGATTTTGAAAGTAAGATCAAAAGTATAAAGTAGGTGTTTATACTATTAATGGCATTTGGAATAATTAGACATATCTATCAAAGGTTTGGTCAACTTCAAATGAATCTCTCCAATATAAGTTTGTTGTCAAACAAACACTGGTATTGTGTGATATATATTATATTGCTTGCAAAAATAATAATTACAACCTAACCAAACTAACAGAGGTCGCTAGGGATCGAACTCAGGACTTCTGGTTTACTAGTCTTGCGCTCTATCGAATGACTTAAAGAGAATTTCTCCCTAGCCGAGTGTGTGGAAGCGGCTAGTGTTTTACCAGGGTGACATATACTTGATATAGTATATAATATTGTAAAGGAAAAAGTTTTTGTAAAAGAGAATGTCTCCCTAGCCGAGTGTGTGGGAAGTGGCTAGTATTTTACCAGGGTGACAATTATACTTGATATAGTATATAAAATTGTAAAGGAAAAAGTTTTTGTAAAAGAGAATTTCATTTTGTATTAAATATGAAATATTTTCAGGACCTTGACAAGAAGACAACAACGGGAGGTTTCCTAGGAGAAGGACCTAATCCTCCTCAACCTCAGCTTCCTATTATTCCACCAGCCGTTGGGTAAGTTAAACATGCAAGCTTTTATATGGGTGTGTCAAATAACATTACTTTAAGGTAGATAACTTTTGCCAGGAATTAAATTTAATGAACAAGTTTTAAATAGCAAGTTTTAATACCTTTTTTGAAAAAAAAAAAATGAAGTTGGATAAAAGATGGTTAGATACAGCTTCTTTGGGTCATTGGTGGATAATTTAACAGCACATATTTTAGATGTAGTCATATTTTAGTGCTTTTCATGCTTTAGATAGTGTACTATAATTGCACCAATTGAAGTTCCTTCATATTGTTTTCTATTGCATAGTTCATCAGTGCACAAATTCATCAATGTGCTACTCTGTTAAAATTCATCAATGTGCTACTCTGTTAAAATTCATCAATGTGCTACTCTGTTAAAAGTTAAAATTCATCAATGTGCTACTCTGTTAAAATTCATCAATGTGCTACTCTGTTGAAATTCATCAATGTGCTACTCTGTTAAAATTCAATAATGTGCTACTCTGTTAAAATTCATCAATGTGCTACTCTGTTAAAATTCATCAATGTGCTACTCTGTTAAAATTCATCAATGTGCTACTCTGTTAAAATTCATCAATGTGCTACTCTGTTAAAATTCATCAATGTGCTACTCTGTTAAAATTCATCAATGTGCTACTCTGTTAAAATTCATCAATGTGCTACTCTGTTAAAATTCATCAATGTGCTACTCTGTTAAAATTCATCAATGTGCTACTCTGTTAAAATTCATCAATGTGCTACTCTGTTAAAATTCATCAATGTGCTACTCTGTTAAAATTCAACAATGTGCTACTCTGTTAAAATTCAATAATGTGCTACTCTGTTAAAATTCATCAATGTGCTACTCTGTTAAAATTCATCAATGTGCTACTCTGTTAAAATTCATCAATGTGCTACTCTGTTAAAATTCAATAATGTGCTACTCTGTTAAAATTCATCAATGTGCTACTCTGTGTGCTACTCTGTTGAAATTCATCAATGTGATACTCTGTTAAAATTCAATAATGTGCTAAAATATGAGTGTGCTAAATTAATTACATTTGTATGTTTAAAGTCTTCTTATTGTACCAATAAGGCAAAGTTAAATGTTTCACAAAATCTGGGCATGACATTGGACTGGCATATATTGTTCTGGCCCTTTGCTTTAGAAATTGATAATTCTTTATACCCCATATTTATTTTATCTTTCATTTTGTTACAGTGATGAATATGACAGCGAGGGAAGCGAGGCTAGTGACGATGAGGCTCGGCCGATGACAAGAAACGAGTTACAGCGACGTGTTATGAACACAGTTAAGAAACGCGAGGCTGCAGCAAAGAAACAGGAGTTTAAATATGACTTATCAAACGCCAAAGAAAAGACATCGAAAAATAAAAAAGACAAGAAATAAAATAGACAGTGATGAAAAAATATGACAATAAGAATGTTGATTGATGATATTTGAATAATAAAGTGACACCATCTAAGGACAGCGAGGCTTGCAGTTGAACAAGATCACAATTAATTTTTCCAACATTGAGAAAACAACTCTACTGTAGACATATCGTGTCATTGACTGAAACTTGAACATAGTTTATGGACTTTAATTGTTCAGAATCCGTAAGAATATTTACTGTAAATGTGTAACCAATCAAGAAATTAATTTAAAATCAACATCTTTGTCAACAAGATTGAGATAAAGTGACGTTCATATACAATTTTTCAAAATTTCAAATTGTACCTTTGACTTAGAAATAGTTATCTAAATTTGGAACATTCTTGAATTTTGAAGAAAATGTATAAAAACTTGCTATGGAAGTGCACAAGTTCTCAATAAAACAAATATATTTACAGCACCTTTTGGGAATAGACATATACTTGATTATAAACGATGCCATTCAAGTTTGTATCCAGTACATGAACAATACAATTATTATACACATTTTGATATGTTATTATTGTGTTGGAACTTATGTTTCATATGGAAATATGTGTGAGGAAGCGAGAGAGAATGTGTGTGTAAAATATACAATATTATCTGTGATATCAATTAAAACATCATATCCTCTATTTCATATTGATGTTCAGAATCAATTAACGTGAAATTTTTCTTACAAATCCCAAACAAAATTTTTGTGATTTTTTTTGAGAAAAATCTTGAAAATTATCTATTCATTATTTTAAATATTTGATGAATAATATTTGTTAATATTGGAGATTAGGTTTCCTACACTGGACATTCTTTGCCAACAATAAGGAAAGGTAAGAATGCTATTTATCTGGCATGTAAAATTTAGGTACTTTTGTGGGATTTTAATTTTCACATTTTTTACAGTAAAATAGACAAAACATTTTTTTAATTTTTAAAAAACAAATTAATAAATCCTTAGTGTAGCACTTTATGCAGTAAGGCCCCTAGACATGAGAGCTATCAAAAATACATCTCTTTAAGCAAACCTGGGAAATTAAAAGCTGTGGGAAACAGAATTTTATAGTATTTATATCCAACTTTGATGCAGAAGGCTATATAATAAAAATAATGAAAGAGGGCTATCTAGCGGAAACTGACTTATTAAAGTTAAACAATATGGACAAACGGTTCATCGTACTATGTATCATTTCAATATGTGAACCTAAAAACAACTTTGAAGCAGAAGAGCAGTACTTATGCATGTCTTGGAATTGCCTTAGATCTGGATTTCAAGAATTAAATTGCGATATTTTCAAATTTCAGTTATCTTAGATCTATTTTTAAGACCTCAAAAATATGCACAGTATTTATATTAAATAAAGATGACTTCGATACAACCTTAAACGTTCTGTTCTTTATTATTTTGTCATATATTTATTTAATTGTTTCTATCCTGAGGTATGCATTCTGCTTGATATATTGTCTGGAGGCTTCTCCTCTGAGGGATCCTGGTGTTATGGCCAAACAAATGAGCAATGAACCGGAAACTTTTTCACTAACATGACTTTAGCTTTAATAGACCAGAAAGCCATACTTTGCAGAACTTGTATGAAAAAAATAATACAGTTGTCAGAGATTAAGTATTATAATGGATTCGGAGGCCCAGGGTTCGAGTCCTTGGTCCGAATTCATGAAACCATTATCATGCTCAAGCATGGATTCTGTGCTCAACCCAACTTTCTTGCGACTCGTTTGATTCATGTGACACAATCAAAAGGTCAACTGTACATGTACATATTGAAAACGGTATTCGGCTTAAAGTCTCTCCATTTTTTTTTATTTTTTTTTATTTTTTTTTTTAAAAATTTATCACGGAACAAGAAAATCGGCTTGAGCACAGAATTTGAGTTTGAGCATGAAAACGGTTTAACGAATGCGGACCCTGGTCTGGTCCCTTCGTATTCCGTCTTTGCGTATTGCAGAGTTATCTTCTCTTGGGAGGAGGTATTGATTGTTACGTCATTGGTTTGTGGGAGAAAATTACGTCGTTTTCTCAAAAATTGATGACGAAACTCTCACAAATAAATGACGTAACAATCAATACCTGCTCCCAAGAGAAGATAACTCTGCAGTATGCAAAGACGGAATAATTTTTCATCCAGATTTTTTTTTTATTCATGTTCCGCAATGCGTAATTTTCCAGACGTAATTAATCAAAGTTACAGTCATGGCGGATACATTCGATGCATAGTTACGAATATATCGGAAGTGGTACGAGAGTCCTTAAATAAATCTCGTGTCTGCTAAGTAGTATTGCACTATTTAATTACACTGGAGTTCATATTTTCCCAAGTTTAGACAAATTTATAATTTCCAGCTTTTCGGTCCCTAATACCACCAATAAGTCGATGGACGAAACAGCTGTATGGCGCAATATGTAATTCATTTTTTGCTTACTGTGTTGATTCGTGTGTGTGTGTTAGTTTCATCTGTAAAGGCATTTAAACAAGGTGTGTGTGTGTGATGGTGGGGAAATGCAGCCGGAGCTACAATAATACCATATGTTCCGAAAGATTGTTCCATGGTTTTACAATTTGTAAAGCAAAGAAGTACTTTCTATGAATATTCCCTTATTCCACATGGATGGGATTTTACTTTCGCCATGACGTGCTTTATAACATGATTTCATTTTAATGCCTGCCAGTGGTGTCTACATTTTCCAAACCCATTCTTGTTTCATTTCGTCAACATGATCAGCTGATGAGTTCAATTGAAAAAAAACCCCACAACATTTTGTTACGGTGTGGAAAACGTAAAGTTGTATAGCAGGGCATGTAATCAACTGTTTCACCAAGGTAAAACTCATCATGTATATGACTTTTATATCTATATCTTTTTATCTCTATATATGTTTTCTTCTTTTTTTACCTTATATTAACTTAACTGCAACAATGATTTACTTGTTACTGTAAACATTTTGTAAATATATTTGGTGAAACCGAAACCTAAAAGCAGGAAGAAGTGAGTACGAGTTAAACCAAAATGCTGCCGAATATCGGAGGCATACAATGCAGAAAGACACATACCTATATATATATATATCTATTATCTCTATACATTGTAAGTGTACACACAACATATGCATTTATGCCCTTCCTTCCTTACTTACATGTACTTAGGGCAGCGGTAACTATGGTTTTACTGGCGAACATAGTTTTTTTCTCAAAGCAATAGAATATATCAATGTTGTATTATTTGTATACTTGAATTATTTGCTTTACATATATCTATATCTATTTATCTCTATATATTTATCTAAATCTATTTATTTTTATATTTATCTTTTTAAACCTTATATTAACTCAACCTCAACAATGCTTTCCTTGTTACTGAAAATTCTTGGTTAATATATTTGGTAAATCATATCTAAAATAGCAGGAAGAAGATAGTACGAGTTAAACTAATACGTTGCCAAATGTCAGATACACATACTTAAGTTAGGTGTCATCGAGAGGTTAGCAAACGGTCGCCAGTAGAACCATGGTTACCGTTGCCCAAAGTAAGTAAGTAAGGGTACAGCTGCATATGTTATGAGTAGACCTACAATGTTTAAAAGATGAGACTGTTCCATAAATATATTTGTTTAACATCTTTACAATACATCTTCTAGCTAACAAAATAAGTAAAACAAAGGTAACTCCTTCATATCAGTGTTGTATTAGTTACATATATGCATTATTAATTTAAAACATACAAAATTACAGGCGAGTGCAGGTGTCAAGGAAGTTATACGAAAACCTACAGCTATAAGACACTCATCCATGTCCCTGTGTCTGTAGTTGTTCTTGCATGTCAGTAGATGACACACAATGCTATAAATATACAGCTATGTTGTCAAAATTATCACTGGGGATTTTAAACTACCCCCACGTGACTTTAAATATATTTACAAACACATCACTGAAAATAACACCATTCATTTAGATATCAACACTAGCCATGACGGACGGTCAGGATCTATACAAGTTGATGAACCTGTAGGGTGATATAGTCACAAAACTGGTGGAAGGAACCATGGACAAAGTTAAAGTTAACCCCGGGATGGAGGTGGTTAGGACCTTGGTATACCTACTGGTGATATTTATGTGTACAGGTGAGTACTTTCTTACTTACATGTAGATACCCATACGATGTATGTGTATACACAATACACAGAGGGCAAGACAACTTGATGTACGCCTCCTAGTACTTACCGTAAATGGGCGTTCGTACGTAGTTTTCGCACTCTACGAAATCCAATTAACATATAGTGTAGTAACATTTCGTTCTTCTTTGGACCCTTGGTTTTATTGTATTTTTTCATATTGATTCAACGCGGAATACGTTTGTATTCCATTGATATGGATCTTTGTTGTGAATATCATAGTCTAGGCCAATGTCTGCCTTAAACACATTTTACATTCAACACTCTCTTGCATAATTGTATTCCGTATATTTTTTTCACGTCCCACCCATAACTATTTGAAAAGGTTAAATTCATGTGAAATCTTAAAATAAAAATCACAGCAGACATGTACTACAAATCAGTTCAAACGTATATTATATATATTGTTGTGTCAGTGTGTATGTCAATGAAAGAGTTTAGAGATATTTATAGAACGGTTCACTAAGGGTTGTTCACTGAGGCATGACCATCGTTGCTTTATTTAAATGTCTGTCTTAAAGTTATCCATGTTAGTGGAGAAACTCCGGGCCAAACATTGTTATTATTCTCACATTAAGCTCCCGGCAGAAATCACATGATCCTATTTGTATTTGCTTTTAACTGTTATGTTGCTCCCTCAGAAACTGTCTGGAAAGTGCGTCGACAGACTCAGCCCCATTATTATTCTAAAGAAACAAATTGTTGACCTGTTTTTAATAGTGAGGTAAATATTTGGTCCCCCTCATTTATTTTACCATGAACAGAAATATGTGTAAGGAAATATAACAGCAGACATACTCATTCGATATGATTACTGATAGACAAAAGATACTTCGCATAGAAAAATATTTGGGGATATGGGTACCTTATAAAATGACAGATATGTGCCGACTAATATAAAATATGTTTTGAAATGATATATAATGGTGTTTGGATTGATAGTTACATAACAATCATTTTGACTCTAAAAACATCAAATTGATACACTTAATATATGTTTAGTGATATTCATGCTGAAATGTCGCAAAACTTACTTAACGAATACAAAGTATGTCAAGTTGTCAACCTAAGTATACCGATATACATCGCGGAGATAAATTCCACAATCTTATAAACCTTGCTATGATAAATAATGTTATAAAAATATTTAAAACTGTGTAGGCCTATAGTTTATATCGTAAACCTGTCATCATAAACATTTATGTTATCATTATACCTCATCTTTATCACAGCGTGTCTGATTGGCTGACAATGATCATATGACGGGGAAATAACCCAACGACAGACTATTGTTTTTTTAATTGGGTGCCGAAACATAGCTTTGGTTCTTGTCAAATATAGTCAATGTGTAATTTCAGAGAGAGAAAATAAACGAGCATGTTCTCTATCTATAGTTAAAATAGCCGTATTCATGTTCTTCTGTACTCTACTTATATATCATGCATAACAATTTTTTCAAGATGTTTGCAATAACAACAAGCATTTGAAATGTAGTTTTTCCAAACGTATGCATTCTTGTTGTGAAGGGGATAATGTGTTATATTATCGTTTTATTCATATGTGAAGATGTAAACATAAACATATTTATTGTCTTTGAAAATATGTGTTTATATTTTTTAATGGAACTTGGCTACACGGAAAGAATACAATTAAAACAGCATGAACGAGCTTCACCTTTTTTTGTATAGATGTATTAATGTTAACAAATCAAAGCACAACAGAAAACCATGTGTGCCCCTTATGTAGTACAAGCCATAAACAATTTAGCAAATTCGATTTCTTGTGACCTTCAATAAAGGCGAATGTCAGCAATGCTTTCTAAAGTGACAATGTACATGTAGTAAGGTACAATAAGCTATACACCAAATATAAGAGTCTTCATGTCAAAATAAATAAAAATTCAATTCAATAAAAAATTGCAAAAACAGCGATGTTTCTCATTTCTGTTTTTGGATTTATTCTATGACAAGAATATCTCTAACGGGATTCATTATATATATTTAGAATGACTGTTTTTCTCGATAGTTTACACAATTGTATGATATTTGTTGTTTTTGATATAAACATTATGACAAAGCGGAGCCGGCGCTACGGTTTCTTTCCCATAACTGTTGATCCTACATTTGGCTGCCCTAGTCCCAGACTCATTGTTGTCCTCTGATCCAGTTTTTACGACTTGTATGACAACACAAGGAGGTTGGCTACTTAAAATGTACAAGTACCTATGTATTACATCCCTCTATTATAACGAACAATTCAGTACAAAGGAAAACCTTTAAATTTATGTCATCCTATAGTGTCAAAGAAATCAAGCATGTAATGGCTGCTTGCCGATAGCTATTGTGGTTACTTTATGTGTCTTTATAACGTTGAAAACAATTTTAAGGATACACGTCCCACTGCTTAAAAATGAAACTATGAATTGAAATCTTTCTAGTGCGTTACAATAGCATCAGTAATTAATTAATGATGAGAGTACACTCCGGTTTTCTGTGTTATAGCATAAAAATATATCCAAGTCAATTCTTATAATTTATTTTACTATACACACAATCCCTGTGAAAATCTACTTTTATTGATGGATTCTTTTCTCTTAAAATTATTACGCCGCTGTATCAGCCAATCAAAAGCGACGTTACAAACGGCGACGTCATGTTTTTACGTTATGGGCTGATACATGTAGCATATTTTTTTAAATCAACGAAATTATTTGTTACAAGCAAGCTTAACTTATTTGAGGATTAACTTGTAAGTAATTAATTTTCGGAAAAAAAGTCTTATGCCTTGCAGGTTTCTTTTGAAAAGCGATAGACATTGAATTAACAAACATATCAACAATTAAAAATGCATGTTTTAAAACTACAGTCGGCAAATCTTCGATATTTTGCCTGCAGATGAAGGGACAGGGATATTTAATTGTAAAAAAATAATCTTTACATAATGTATTATGTAGTGACACGAACAACTCAGACACGAGTGTTGTACATTGGTACACTATCGTGCTGAGGTGTGAGTCTGAATCATAGTTAAACGAACAACTCGGGCCTGAGTATTGTACATTGGTACACTATCGTGGTGTGGTGTGAGTCTGAATCATAGTGACACGAACAACTATGACACGAGTATTGTACATTGGTACACTTTCGTGGTGTGGTGTGACGCTGAATCATAGTAACACGAACAACTCAGACACGAGTATTGTCCATTGGTACACTATCATGGTGAGGTGTGAGTATGAATCATAGTAACACGAAAAACTCAGACACGAGTATTGAACATTGGTACATTATCGTGGTGAGATGTGACGCTGAATCACAGTAAAACGAACAACTCAGACACAAGTATTGTACATTGGCACATTATCGTGGTGAGATGTGACGCTGAATCACAGTAAAACGAACAACTCAGACACGTAGCAACTCACACACTCCTCCGTGTATCTGAATGCTTCTGAACAAGTAGGCTATATAGCTAACATGTGGCGTCTTGTGTTTACTTTTGAAAGCTCGTATCGTGGTGAGTAGTGACTCTGAATCACAATGACATGAACAACTCAGACACGAGTATTGTACATTGGTACATTATCGTGGCGAGGTTTGCATATGAATCACAATTACATAAACAACTCAGACACGAGTATTGTACATTGGTACATTATCGTGGTGAGGCTTGCATATGAATAACAGTGACACGAAGAAATCAAACTCAAGTATTGTACATTTGTTCACTATCATGGTGAGGTGTGACTCTGAATCACAATGACATAAACAACTCAGACACAAGTATTGTACATTGGTACACTATCGTGGTGAGGTGTGACGCTGAATCATAGTTTAACGAACAACTCAGACATGAGTCTGCATCATAGTGACACGAACAACACACACACGAGTATTGTACATTGGTACACCATCGTAATGTGACTTTAAATCACAATGACACGAACAACTCAGGCACGAGTATTGTACATTTTTTCACTATCGTGGTGAGGTATGACTCTGCATCATAGTGACACGAACAACTCAGGCTCGAGTATTGTACATTGGTACACTATCATGGTGAGGTGTGACTCTGAATCACAATGACATAATCACAATGACATAAACAATGACATAAACAACTCTGACGCGACTATTGTACATTGGTAAATTATCGTGGTGAGGTTTGCATATGAATCACAATTACATAAACAACTCAGACACAAGTATTGTACATTGGTACACTGTCATGGTGAGGTGTGATTCAGGATCAAAACGACATAAACAACTCAGACACGGGTATTGTACATTGGTACATTATAATCACAGTGACACGAACATGATGGTGAGGTGTGACTCTGAATCACAGTGACACGAACAACTCAAACCCATGTTTTGTATATTGGTACACTATCGTGGGGAGGTGTGACGCTGAATCATACAAGTAGTAACACGAACAATTCGGGCACGAGTATTGTACATTGGTCCCTTATCGTGGTGAGGTGTGACGCATGTTTTGTATATTGGTACACTATCGTTGTGAGGTGTGAGTCTGAATCGTAGTAACACGAACAACTCAGACACGAGTCTGCATCATAGTGACACTTGGTACACTATTGTGGTGTGGTGTGACGCTGAATCATAGTAACACGAACAACTCTGACACGACTATTGTACATTGGTACACTATTGTGGTGTGGTGTGACGCTGAATCATACATGTAGTAACACGAACAATTCAGACACGAGTATTGTACATTGGTACATTATCGTGGTGAGGTGTGACACTGAATCATAGTAACACGAAACACTCAGACACGAGTATTGTTGAGGTGTGAGTATGAATCATAGTAACACGAACAACTCAGACACGAGGATTGTACATTGGTACATTAACATGGTGAGGTGTGAGTATGAATCATAGTAACACGAACAACTCAGACACGAGTATTGTTCATTGGTACATTATCGT